ACATAAGGGGAAAATGTAGTTAGAATTATTTTTCAAGAAAATGCCCCTCTCAGATCTATTGTGGAGAGCATAATTGAAGCTAGTCTCAATGTTATACTTTGATATCCATCATTGCATTTATGCTGATGTTTCCAGCCAATGACTGAGTGTGGTAGGGATACTGAGGCAGCTACATTCCAGGGGAATGTGCTAGATTTTTTGGACATCTGACCTTGGCTCAACGACTCTTTTCTGGCCTTGCCAAATCTTCTTAAAACTTCCCTGAAGTCTAACATCTTTCTCTCTCCCTCCTCCTTCGTCTTTCTTCTTCCCCTCTGCTTCCCTCTCTCCTTCCTTCTCTCTTCTTTTCTTCCTTCTCTGCTTCACAGGGGTCAGATCTCCATTACGTTCTTTTAGCACTCACAACTTCCTGTAACTCCTAGGAAAGCTCACAGATGTGTCTTCCAATAAATTTCTTGCACATCTCTTCCAGTCCTGGTGTCTGCTTCTCAGAGGAACTGGACTAATGCATAAGAATGCTGTTTCCCTGGCTCAAAAAAAAAAAAATTAATTAAAACAAAGGAGTAGGAGAAGGAGAAAGGAGTGTACCAATCTTCTGAATTGTTAAAAAATCATTTCATATTAAAGATTTATTTAAGGACCAAGACATTACATGTAAAACTGATTAAATTTAGTTTATCTTTGTTACTCCCATTTAAAAATTGTTAAAAACAGTTTGCTTAGGAGACCCAATTTTTAAAGAAAATAAATTTCAGTTATCCATTCTATTGATTTTTATGGCCAAAGATAAATTTATTGTATAAACATAAAACTTCCTCTTCCACTTAATAAAATATAGTCTCTTATCTTAGTCTCCACTGAAACTCTCTGAGAATTACAGTCCAATGTCCTGTTCTTTTTTTCACATAAACAAAGGCAATTTGTAGGGCGGCTCAAGCGGTTAAGCATCTGACTCTTGGTTTTGGCTCAGATCATGATCTCAGGGTCTTGAGATTGACCCCAGTTTGGGCTCCATGCTGAACACGGATCCTTCTTGATTCTCTCTCTGCCTTCCCCCATCACTTGCTCTCTCTCTCTCTAAAAAAAGAGGGGGGAACAATTTGTCAATAAAGTGGCAGTTTGGAGGCATAATATGGAAAAAGGACATTACTAGTGGCAGATTTTATTCTTCAAAGATACACTGCAGTGTTTCCCATATATGTGCTCTTCTGTAATGTGACCTTGCAACCCTCCCATCATAGGTGGAGTCTGTGTTCCCCTCACTTTGCATCTGGGCAGGCTCATGTTCCTTTGCTCAGTAGGGAATGGTTGAAATGACCATTCTTAGATCTGTGGGTTGATATCTGTTACTAAATTTGGAAGATTCCTAACCATTATTCTCTTTAAATATGTCTTCTGTCACATTTTCTTTGTCTTCTCCTTCAGCACACACGCTACTCGATTTTGTCCCACAGATATCAGAGGCCCGGGTGCATTTTTTTTTCACTTTTTATCTTTGTGTTTTAGTTTGAGTAATTTCTTTTGACCTACTTTCAACTGATTTTTTTCCTTCCATTTTATCCAGTTTGCTTAAATCACATTTAAAAAATTTTCTGAGTGTATTTCTCATTTCATTTAAATTGTTTTCAACAATTTTGATCTTTCTGCTGAAACTCCCCATATATTCCTGCATGTTTTTCACTGAATCCTTTAACAAATTTGTCACATTGAGTTTTCAGGACCTGTCTGATAATTCTAACATCAGGATCATCTCTGGGTCTGAGTCTATTGACCATTTCTTCTTTTGACCAATTTTTTGATTATCCACATCTTTCATAATTTTTGATTATATGTCAGATAGTATATATAAAAGAACTATTGAGAATGAATTAAGGAATATTTACTCCCAGAAAATGGTACATGCCTTATTCTATCAGGTTGCTACTCTAGGTGCCTAACTCAGTCAAAACTATAGTTGAGCTGGGTGAGAATTTGTTACAATTTTAATTAGATTCAATCAGCATTGGCTTCAAATATTTCTGAAGGCATGATCAAGACTTTTCTTCGACAGGAAGGAGGTCTGTGTAGAGAGCTCTTGTACCTTATGCCCAGTCACCAGCTTTCTGAGCCTTGGAAGGTCTCTGTGCTTTACAATATAGTTGTTACCATTTTGTTTGCTGGGGAGTGGTCTTTGTTCTCCAGTCATGTTCATTCATGTCCTTGTGAGATTTCTCCTTATCCTGCTGTTCTGTCTCAGATTTGGAGGGCTGTTACAGTATACCATAGAGGGATTTTTCTCTTCTGCTACTCCCTTAGTCTTCAGCAGTCAGTGCCTTGGATTAAAGACCTGGATTGCTCTGTAGGGGTCTTTCTCATCTTTCCCGTCCTGACCCCAGCTGTTAAGCACTATTTTTCTTTTTTGGTATTTGGGAAAAATCTGTGAATCTTGAGATATTTGGGGAAAGAGCACTCTTCTCTGACCACAGACTTTGTTGTTTTTGTTTTGTTTTAAGATTTTATTTATTTATTTGATAGAGAGCGAACACAAGCAGGGGGAGCAGCAGGGAGAGAGAGAAGCAGGCTTCCTGCTGAGCAGGGACCCTGACATGGGGCTTGATCCCAGGACCCAGGGACCATGACCTGAGCCGAAGGCAGCTGCTTAACCGACTGAGCTACCCAGGCGCCCCTGACCATAGACTTTGAAACATGCAACCCTTGTACTAAGTGAAGGTTCATGGGTTAAAGCTGGCAAGTAGTTTTTGACTCATTCTGTGGCTGGGGCCTCCTGGAACTGTCATACTAGTTCCCATATGGGTGTTAATAGATGGTTAAATGATCAACTAGTTTCTCTTTGTCTCTCATTCCATGCAGTCTGCTTTCTGCAACCAATGCACACGAGATAAAAGCAACTGTGAACTTTTCTTCCTAAGAATATCTTACTTCTCCCTGGATTTTAGTTCTTTTAGGTGTCTTTGGGTCTTCAGTTCTCTGATAGTTTTTTTTTTTTTTTTTTTTAAGCTGAATTTGTAGTGTTTCTGGCTCATTCTTGTTCGGATGGGACTAAATGGT